TTAACCCAACAGCTATGGATGTAGAGGAAATTAAAATATTACCACTAGTCACAACTTACAACCCTAACAACCAAAATATTACTCCTATCGTTCAAAATCTGAATGATATCCTCAAAACAGATGAAGAAATGTCAAGTGTTTAATCAAAATTTAAATTTATAAACAGCAAAAGGTCGCCAAAAAACCTCAGAAGAATGTTCTGTCCTTCCAAAATAAGGAAATCTACAAAATCCGTAACGAAGTGTAAAAACCCACGATGTGGCACATGTCCTTTTTTTAAGACAAGGAACGTCATTTAATTTCAGAGGAAAAGATTTTTTTATTAATTCGGACATGACATGTGAGTCCAAAAATTTAATATATGTTATTACTTGCGGAGGATGTAACCAATTCTACATCGGTGAAACGGGGATCACATTGAGAGCCAGAATCCGGGTGCATAAACAACACATTCAAGTCCCCGAGTACCGCAAGATGAAACTCAGCGAACATATAGATATATGCGGACACGGACTATTTAAAGTATTTCCTTTTTATAAACTTTTTAGAGACAATATAATTGAAAGAAGAGAAAAAGAAAAACATTTAATTCAAAAATTTAAACCCAGTCTTATCAGTTTGATTTAATTTGATTTCTGACAAAACTTTCACACAGAGTATAACCTTCCCATGTTCTCTGAATTAGTAATATAAACACATGTTGGGTTTGGTTTCAGAAGTGTGAACCTACTGCAAGCATTTTATAGCTAGCTGTCAGATTCAATTATAGATAATGATTTTTAAAGTATCAATAGCTTTGTTAGACATTACAGTCAAGAAAACGTTATTATGTATTTGTAAAACGTCTGAAGATAATAATGAAAGCGCTAACGTTCTAACCTGTATTGCCTTTCTTTTTTTTTTTTAATTTTATCTTTATAAAAACTGGACACTGTGAATGTTTCAAATTTGGATATATATATATATATATATATATATATATATATATATATATATATATATATATATATATATATATATATATATATATATATATATATATATATATATATATATATAATATATATAAAGCACATTTTACAACAACTCTTAAACTAACAAAACTGCCCTAGGTGAAGAAATATTAATATATAAAAGACACTTTTATAAGGATACCCACTTTCGCCCCAGCCCGGGGTTGAACTTTCGACCTACGGAATCTGTCTCCTAGCAGTACAGGATCAGCGCGCTAGACCGCTCGGTTATCTAGGCAAGTCAAAAAACTTGCCTTCGATGCCGATGGAATTCTCGCGGCGCTGATCTACTCTACACGGTCATTGAGAATGGAGAATTCCTGGGCATCGAAGGCAAGTTATTTGACTTGCCTAGATAGTCGAGCGGTCTAGCGTGCTGTTCCTGTACTGCTAGGAAACAGATTCCGTAGGTCGAAAGTTCAACCCTGGGTTGGGGCGGAAGTGGGTATCTTTACAAAAGTGAATTACTTTGTTCTTTCTTTCTTTCTATATATATATATATATATATATATATATATATATATATATATATATATATATATATATATATATATATATATATATATATATATATATATATGTATAAAATTCAAAAGTAGTTAAAAGATGATGTCACACAGTAAAAATAATCATAAAAGAAGAAGAAATTGCAGCTTCCAAATTTCATTCAACACAAGCGCTTTCTGAGTTTAATCATCCGTCTTTAGGTGTTAATATATTTGAACAGTTCAAATGTATTAACACCTGAAGACGGATGATATATGTGTGGGGGGATTACTTTTACCATGTTTTATATGTCTAAAAGCGATATATAAAAAGATTTTTAGAAGAATGAGAAAATCTAGGTATGGTATATTGTTTAAAATGTTGTTTTACAGAAATGGAGAAATTTGTGGAGAAATGGAGAGGTCCAGACAGTCATTTTTACTGCTTGGTAATCTCTCAATTGATTTAATTCTTCCTCTCCTCTCTTTCTCGCACTCTTTCTAACTCTATCTCTCACCAAATACATTTAAATTATCAATATTCAAATGTGATTATTACTTATGAAATATTGTACATACATATAATACTTCTTATAGTCTGACATACACAGTGTCTTGAAAAATCATCAATCAATAAAGGGTTTCTCACTGACAGGTAAGAAATATTTTAAATACATATGAATGAAAAAGAACTGCTTTGTATCTACTGTCGTTTGTTTAGGTAAAAATATCAAATATTGATACCATTTTTAATCGATATATCTTAATTAATAGCTTTATTAGGGTAAGCTATCGTTTACAACGATTAATTAGAATTTCTTATGTAAATATGAGTTTGAAAAATTTCCTCATGGTTTAATATTTACATTTGCTGTGTTTTTTCTACTAAGCCAACTGTGAAATTGATTTGAATGCCATTTTCGTGTATACTCACGCGTTGAAATATGCACGAAGAAACTCGCGCTAAAGTGACGTCACAATGAGGCTACAGAGACGTTTATAAAAATGTAACGATATAGGGCAGCGAATAATTCAAACATCGAGTATATTTTTGGTGCTTTTAAACATGTAAAATGTAAATATACGGAATGTTTTTAAGTTTAGTTTAAATTATTATTGTATATATCACACTAACTTGCACGTAGGCAAGCGCTAGCGCGTTTCATGAAATATGCCTACATGACAAGTCTGCGTAATTTACACACCAATAACTCATACAAAACTTAAAAACGTTCCTTAAATATTTAGCTATAGTTATAGTTTACTCAAGTACATGTACTTTATTATCTCTCAGTAATAATCATAACATACTGAATATTAAAACCATCATGAAATTATAATTGATTGAATTTTTTTTTTTCGTTTTCCCATTAGTTAGAGAAGCACGGTCAGCATTATCAACGAAACTGTTCAAATGTAGCCTGGAGAATTTCCCTCGCATCAAATATATGCATAAAATGATCACACATTTCGAACGTACACTGGAAAAAATCGAAACTAAGTGCAAGTTATCATTTGGAGAGTTTTTGAATGAAAGGACGGCAGTGATTCTGTACGTACCATCAAATATATCTGAAGAAAATGAGACATTATTGCCTCCCAAAATCGGTTAGTACATTGCCATAGAAATTTATTTCATATGAGTTCCCTTGATAAACAATAATCAATATTGTAATGTAATAAATAAAAACTTTTGTAATATTTAGGAACAAATAGACTTCAGGAGGACAAGACGTCTATTTGGCCTGATTCTGTTCTGGTTTATTTTCAAGGACATGAAGAAAACCTAGAACAGATCAAAAGGGTATACAATATTTTAATCGCTCAGAATGATTTGAATTCTATACAACGCTTACCATGTTATTTGAATATTTTCAATCACATCCTACCACATCTACAGAGCTCCTTTTCATATTAAAGCAGTAGTTTCATTAAATGAGTCTATACATTTCGATTTGTATTGAAAAAAATGTAGAGAACATAGAAATATATTACTAGATAGATAGAGGATATTCAATGTTTTGTAGTTCGCACTCGTGAAAATATCAAAAAATTCTGTCGCACTCGTGAAATAAATTCCATATCCAACTATAAAACATTGAATTTTCTGTTTATAAAATCTTTTTTATTTTCCCTTTGCAACTACATATCCAATTACAAAACTTAAAATTTTCTGTTTATAACATTTTATTTTATTTTCTCTTTGCCTTTTCCCTTTCCCTTTGTCTTTTCTTAAGACAGTGTCATAGGTTGTGATGCCATAGTTGAGCAGTTGAGACATCATAGCTTAGCAGTTGTGAGATTGAAAACATTGTAATATGGATTTAAGCAATATATTTGAAAAGAAATTGGCAGTTTTAGTCTCTATCAACATAGTTTAGTTACTATATCTATTACAGGCCAGAAATTATTACAAACTTACTTTGATATCCTTTCACACTGTGACAGAATATCATTTTGGTATCCTTGTACACTTTAAGAGAATACATGTATCACTAAATCACAGTATTTCGCTGTTGCAAATGTAATAAATAGTAATCTATGTAAATTTTATAACTTCTGGCGTGGTCATCGCTGCTAGGTGGGTCATAGTTTAACAAATGTCTACATTATACAAGGTCGTTTGATGTCAGGCGTTCTAAATTGTCAGCTTAAAGTTTGCTTAAAAAATCAGTATATGCAGAATAATATCCCTTGCTGTATTATCTGACTAAGCATGAAGTATTTTTTTTAAATTATATACTATAGGATGTATAAAAAAGACATCATAGTCACAACTTGTTATCCAACACATGTGCAAGGAACATTTTTTTTTTCATTTTATTTCAGAAAATAAGAGAATTTCAGAATACTAAATGGAGTAGTGAGATCGTTATTTTGAATTCAGGGACTAAATATGGATCTCAATCCTTTGGACAATACACATTCACAGTCGTAGACTGTAACAAAAAATCCATTCAAGAAGCCATATCTAAATGTCTGGAAGCATCAGTTTCTCGATATTTAGAAGATAAAATGTCCAAGCTTACAGAAGTTGAGAAGGAGTGTGACAGATGTTTATTGAAGGCAGAAATTTTGTCTTTACAAACTCTTTTATCAAAGGCCACTCCTGGCAAACCACTCAAGAGAATACCAAAGAAAATAAAGGATTATCTATTCGAGTAAGTGTTTTGAAAATTGTTGTATCTACTAGTATCTTAATTTTTTTCCGAAATTTAATTCGTTTATTTGTATAAAAAAAAAACTCTTTTCCAGACATCCATTTGTCTTGAGCTTTGCGATTTGGGAAGGGAAAACATTGCGAATAACTGTGAAGGATATAACATGTAAAGATAATCTAGAACAGGAACTAAAAGCACTAGATCCTGATGGAGACTTTTTGCCGTCACATATGCTTGAAATTTTAAAAGGAAGCGTGAAAGTCGATCTTTACGTAAAACAAGGGGACAAACTTTACCCAGGTCATAATAGAAATGGCTCGCAAACAAAAGAAGAATGTGATGCCGCCTCTAACAAGAGCAACGACATGGAAGAGTGTACATACGGAACATTAGGTGCTTTTATGGAAGAAAAAAGTAATAGAGCACTTTATGGTATAACATGTCGCCATGTGATTCCACAAGAACACGAAAAAGTGTACATGAAAATAGACCAAAATAAGCCACCATGTGAATTTGGTCATTCTGTGTATACTTCCGAGAAATCTTTTGAAGACTTTGCAGTGTTCAAAGTGAACGATCATGTTAAAGATGAATGCAAAAAAACTTTTCAAAATGACGATGACTATGAATGCAATGCCGTAGTTCATCCCGGATATACCTCAGATAATTTAATTGTGCATAAGAAGGGAGCAGCCACCGGGTGGACTACGGGGCGGATTCAGAGCCGAGAGTACTATTCTAATTTAATTCCTGATCAAAATGAGGTGTTCCTTGTCAGCGGTTTTGATAAAGAATTTTTTTCACGCGGTGGAGACAGTGGTTCTGCCGTGTTTAAACGTGATGAATCATTTGATCAATCGACCGTATCCGTACTCGGTATGGTATTTGGTGGAATGGAAAGTAATTATGAAGAACATCGCCCTGAGATAGAGAAATCTACAGTGTGTTTTCCTCTAAATAATCCTTTGAATACAATGACTGAACGTAATGGCTTAGAATTAGAATTTCCATCCAAAGAACAAAGTTTTTGCAGCGATTCGGACTAACTCAATTGTCAGTTGCAAACAAATGCATATATTAAGTTAAAATTACCATTTATTCGAAAGGTCTTAATATTGACTTCTGTATCAATTTAATCTCTATTTTGAACAAGCATCCTGAAAATATTCATTAGCAATGCTAGTCCGCCACCGGCAAGTTTAATCTGGTTCCAAAAAAAAAATTGAAAATGCCAAATTTCGACAAAAATCATTGAAGCAGAACAAAATGCAAACGCTATCCTTAATGCGTTAAAGTAAATTCACATACTAAAAGTCAGCTCAATCTCTGCAAGCGTGTAGAAAAAAAATTGGAAAATCCCGAGAACGTGAACGAGGCTGTAATTCCGTCAAAAATCATTGATGCGGAAGTAATTGCTAACTTAATCTCTAATTCATCAAGATACACTCAAATACCAAAAATCAGCTCAAAATCTGCAAGCGTTTAGAAAAAAAATGCAGAAAATCAAGAGAGACAGACTAACAGACAGAGGGACAGCTAGACAGACGGATGGACAGACGCAGAGGAAACCTTAGGCCCCCTCCGGTTTCACTTATAGGGGGCTAAAAAAGCCAAAGCGATGTTTGTTAACAAATAATTTGATTTTTATATAAGCAGAAGAGCTAGAGGCATATAATATTTAAAAATTAAAAAAAAAAAGATTAAAAAAAATCAATTGTGTTGATAATCAGATCCATAAAAATCTAAAATTATTAGTTTATTATAAAATATGCTAAAAATATGATTTCAATTGAAATAGATAGGTTTGATTTTCGCTATTTTTCTTTTTTTTTTCTTTATTTTCTTTGCTTATTTAAATGGATTATTGAAATTGTATTATAAATATTCAATCCAGATTTCTTTTTATAATAAAATTACGACGGGTGATGAAAAAGTTCACAAACTAATTGAATTACTTACATAAAAGAAATAAAATAGGTTTCAGCGTTTATTATTTTTTAAAGTAGTCCTCTCTGATTTTAATGCACATCTGCCACCGTTTTGCCCATGCGCGAATCACGTGATCCAGGCGATCACGTGACATGCTCTGTAGCGTTCTGTACACAGTAGCTAAAAGATTTTTCCGAGTCTTATATTTCTTACCATGCAAATTATCTTTATAACAAGAATTGGCCATTTGTCACAAATGGCCAAATCTTGGCAATAGGATGGGTGGATAAGAATGTCTTTTCCCAGAATGAGCATGGTGACCATCACTAACCGTCTCCTTTGTGTTGTGTGCGTCATTTATCCATTGTGGATAAAGCATGGGCGCCTTCTTTTTATCATATCTGGTATGTTTAAAGTCTAAAGTAAACGATATTTTAAGGATTTAACAATTATATTATTGTTAAGATATTCAACTGTTTTTCTTACTGTAACTTGGCGATCTTTCATAACAAATTGCCCAACTAAAGACACATCTCTTCTCCAGATTACTTTCACATCATACAGCATTTTTAACCATCTCCCTTCCTTCACTTAAACAATCAATCCAATTAATGATTGAACTTCTGGCAAGTCTTTTGTTTTCATAAACCTTGTACAAATTATTATATACTACTGCAAAGGGATTTCCAAGATACAGTGAAACCTGTCTAATCCGACATGCTCTGGGAGACGAATTTTGTGTCGGAATAGACAGGGTTTCGGATTGCACAGTGTAGAAAATAAGAAAATTAGTAAAATGGGAAAGAAATTTTACGTCGGAATTTACAGTGTGACGGATTGCACAGGTGTCGGATAAGACAGTTTTCACTGTATATATGTTAAACTTTACAGTCGTTCGTTGCTCGAGTACGACTGAGTCAGCCATTTTTTGTCACAAGACATCTACATATTGACGTCATTTTTACATTATGACGTCACAAACATGGATCAAACATAACGTAACATCTCCTTTTTATAGAACATGTTTATGACTATATGTGTGCCAAATTTCATTTGAATCTGAATTGTGGTTTTGTAAATATACATTTCGCGAAATTTTTGATCACCCCTCGTATACTTGTATACAAATTATCGACTTTTATAGCAAAGGATATAAAAATGATGATAAATAAATACATTATTATTATTACCTGTATGATCTTGTTCTTTTAAGTACATATTTGTGCAGGGAGAAAAAGATGAAAAAAAACAATATTCCCTCCCTTTGATAAACATTTAACTAACAAATGCTATTTTATTTTTTTTTTTTTTTTGGATTTTACTTCATCTGAGATTAAAAAAAAAAGTTTTGTTAAAATGTAAGTATGAGGAAGTTCAAATCATAACCCAATGCGAAGGTATGTGAACGCCATTTTTTTTTTTGTTAAAATTTTTACGTAGTTTTATTTGGGAAAAAATCATTTCTTTTCTCAAGAAAAAGTCTATGAACTTCTAAAATTGTAATTGTCTCTTGACCTAGTTTTGTGTCAAATGCTAACCATTTATGAGCATATGAGAAAAAGGTGAAAAGATATGTATAAAAACATTGCCGTCTGATACTCGGATGACAATTAAGGTCAAAAGGACCCATTGGTAAATCGCAAACGATCTCTCTCCAGCAACACACTCATCATTTATAAGTTGTAAAAGTAATTCCTGGACTATATCGATTCTTTAACGCGAACGGGAAGGAATGTTGGAAGGTCATAAAGTAACAGCGCTGCGGTGAGGTAATGAAACGTAAAGAGGAAAGGTGCCGTATTCCCTATAGTCTTTCAATATTAAGTCCAAAAAACTGGTAAAATCAGGTTTCCGAATTTATTATGGAAGAGGGTAAATAACAATAAAGAGGAATTTCAACAATAGCTTACAAGTCTTAATCGAGCTGGTTGTGGCCGGTAGAGCATCGGGCTTCCAAACTGAATAGAACTATGTCCATTACTGAACTGAACTGAAGAACTGAAGAAACTATGTTCATTATAATAATTGACATAGCTATTTGTAAGATTAAGAGTAAACAATCATTGAATTATGACATTAGCTGACTTAATTGATGGACAGATAAGTTTCTTTGATAGAATAGACATAAAAGATATTGCTAAATAATTATACAAACAGAGTTATTGGTACATGAACAACAAGTCCTAAGGCATTTACATCTTATGAGTATCAATTCTTTTGACAGAGTCACCGAGTGTCAATTGGAATATCTTGACCATGCTTCAAAGGAAATGAGACAAATAATATACAGTCAATTAAATATAAGGCTTACAATGATAAAAGATAAAGAAAATTCACAAATAAACATCCAAATTTAATATATCAAAAATTTATTTTATTTTTTAAATAAGAATTTTGCTCGGTGATAACACTATAATTCTAACTTGAAAATAGTAATAGAGAACCCCGCTTAGGACTGCTAAAAGACTAAGAACTTAAAAATATATTCAGAAATACAACGAAATTTATGGTGGCATATTTCTGCCCCCTACATGCAAGATAGATTATGTTAACATGCAACATAATTATGTAAACATGCGACTTATTTATGTCAACATGCAAATTAATTATGTTGACATGCAAGTTACCAATCTCTTTAGAAAATCTAATTTTAATATTGGTAAACTTACTTACTAATGCCATTCTATGACATCATGCAAGCAAGATGCAACAAAATGATGTTGACATGCGACTTATTTATGTTAACATGCGAGAAAATAATGTAGACATGCAACTTTATTTATATCAACATGCAAAATAATTATGTAGACATACAACTTATGTATGTCAACATTCAAGATAATTATGTTAACATGCGTACGCGTGTTAATTATGTCAACATGCGAGATGTGTATGTTGACATGCAATTTTTATCTTGCATGTTGACATGCATGATAAAATATAAATTGCATGTTGACATAATTAACTCGCATGTTGAAATAAATAAATAGCATGTTGACATAAACATGTCGCATTTTTACATAAATAAGTTGCATGTTAACATAAATAAATTGCATGTTAGCATAAATAAATTGCATGTTAACATAAATAAGTCGCATGTTGACATAAATATCTTGCATGTTAACATAATTATCTTGCATGTTAACAAAATTAAGTCGCATGTCAACATAATTCTGTTGCATCTTGCTTGTATGATGTCGTATACTGGCGTTAGTAAGTAATATTACCAACATTAAAATTAGATTCTCTAAAAAAACAAAGATTGGTAACTTGCATGTCAACATAATTATTATGCATGTAGACATAATTATCTTGCATGTTGATATACTTTTCTCACATGTTAACATAATTCACCTTGCATGTACGGGGCAGAAATATGCCACCATAGACTACCCTTAAAAAATTGCGACAATAATAGTGTTCTGCAGCCTACCTACAACTAAAGTTTCTTTCAAATTCACAGTTGAAGGATTTTTCATATTTGTATAGATATTTATGTGACTTTTCGTACAATAATACTTATTGGAGAAAAAGAGAGATTTTGTGATTAACTCTGTAAAAACTGTGTTTTTTCTATAGAAATCAACGGCAAATGGATAATAGCTTTTTAAATTTGCCCCCTTTCCCATGAAACAAAAATTTCTTTTTACTGGTTATAAAAATTGTTATTTCAAAAATTCGTAATAAAGCTTTTGTTGGCTCATCAACACTTCCGTATTCTGTACAAAATCTGTAAAAAAAATTTACTTATCACATCACAACAATAGTAAAGTCAGATAGACGGATTGATGTCATTCCAGAAGGGTTCCAACATTTTCAAGATGGACCCTAATCAGTGGAATTTATTTCAAGTAATCATATTGAAACATCGTTATTTATCAACAATCACCACACTTTTTATCTCCCCAAAATTATATAGACTTACGTTAATTTCTGTATAACATAATATGAGCTCTATGTTCGGAATTTTTTGAGACAATTCTCTTAAAGACGTTATGAATGACTCGCTCTACAATGACCAAAAATGCTCAGAAGCTAGATACACCTTCTCCAAGCCCCCTTTACAGAAATCAACACTGACCCAGAACCAAGAAATAAAAATTAGATAAGAAAACCCCCTTTCCCACAGTTTCTATCTACTTTTCTAAATATCAAATCACTGAAATATGTAAGCATATAGTATACGTGAATTGGTGTGAAATAGCGTTAATTTTTTTTAAATTATTTTTTTTTTATTTTGGATTTAAGTATTTTGGTAAAATCAAATCAAATCAACCCTTCTAACTTTAAAGGTACGGATACAATTTATATATATACACTCTATTGGGGGGAGGGGGGGGGTAGTCTGTTGTTGGATCAGCGCCAGTGTCAATTTATATAGAGATTTGAATTTAATAATTTAGTATGATAAATTTGAAATTGTGACAGTAATATATTTTGCCGCAATTATTTTCCCACTGTTTTAAGATTTGCATGGGATAGTGCGATTGATAGTTTACTACCATCTTTACTTAGATATTTGTGTTTTGTACAAAGTTTTAAGTCTAAAGAATATAGTGAGTACATGTAAGGCAATTGCTCTCTGAGAAGTTGATGAAGCAGAAAGCAGAGAAAGAATCGAAATATTACTGTACAATGAATACAACTATAGGGTTTGTTTCTTGTGGATTGCTTTTCTTGGGCAATGAAGTTCCTTCTCTTCAGTTGTGATTTTGGCGTGTTCTAAGCAAGAGACATAATTGCCTCCTTTTTGCCTTTTACATATCAGAGATTTTCGTTTTCCTCCACTTTTTCCGACATTTATGAAAAAATAAAGACAGATGAATATTATTTAGACAAGTATATATATTTATACTAATTAAGTGTTTTATATATACAAGTATCCTTAAAAGTGCATGGAAATCCAAGATTCAGAGAGGCACTCTTCTGAATATTGGTTTTCAGAAGTACCAAATTTTCATGAGGACCCTCTTTAAGGTAGTCCAATCCTCAGGCTCTAAAAATCAAGCGTTGAATAATGATATCTAGCTTAATAATAAGTGATCGAATAATCAATCACTACGAAACCCGAGACTAGCAAAAATATACTTTAAGTTCTGATCTTATATAAGAGCTCACTCGCCCTCAGACTACCTAATATGATGTAGGATGCCTTATTTAGGGCGAAAAGTGTACCCGTATATGATAGCCCTTCAAATACTATGCTCAATACTGGGTCCTTATTCAGGACGGATAGTGTGTCTGTATATGGCAGCCCTTCAACCACTTCGCTCACTATTGGATGTCTTGCTCACTATTGGATGTCTTATTCAGGACGTTTAGTGACCTGCATATGGTCCCCTGCATATAGAGTTAATATGTCTTAGTTGATTCGATGCGCATTATTACTTAAAGCTTAATTAATTTCCTGATTTAACTAACAGATTTAACTGAGGTTACCTAGGTACATAGAATAATTAATTAAGCATAAAAATCAAAATCGCTGACTTGTTATCATTTCAAAACTTGTTTGCGTGGAAGGAAGAACTTATACATAGATAATAGAAATGTCTGACTTGAACAACATGCAAATTAAATCCAGATTTCGATTTAGGCAAGATTGTATTATACATGTATGTATTGCGGATATATGTTGCGATATTATCTGCAAAGAACAACAAGAGTTAGACGAAATCATTCCATAGGAATGGAGATGTAGGTATTTTTTTCGATTATGCATACAATAAATGTCATTATATTTTATCAAAATTATCATCATTTTGAAAATATTTTAACCTCAGACAAGTAACCGAAAAGTAGGTTAATCGTTCAATTCAAACTTAAGGCACGTAAACCGGGGAGGGGGTGTTCCTCTCCCACTTTTTGAGAGATTTTTTGTTATTTTCAATTTCCCCTCCCAAAAATCAATGCCTCCTGTTAGAACTTAATACTGAGTACATACTCTGTAATTGCATTGTAAAATGAATATCTTTCAATGTAAGAATTCATATTTGAAGTAACTATCTTTAATAATACATTTAATGTATATTACCAATATAATTTTAATATTTGATTAAAGTAAATAACCTTAGCAAATTTAAAACATTGATGAATTGAGGTAATTTTGATTATGACGTCAGAAATATTTTATCATAGATAAGGGAAATGCGCGTGTAGAATGATTCTAACAGAGAGTTAACTATAAGACATCAATTAAATGTGAGTTAGCTAATTTGTTTTTAATAGACTTTCGAACAACAATTTTTAACTCACAGTTACGTAACTCGTCGTTAAAATTTAAACAGCTAGTTACCACACTAACTGGAACTTTATTTAGCTAACGTTCGTGCAACCGGATCCAGGTAGACGGAACATTCAGTAGTCGAATTGGGCAAAAACACGAAGGCCTAATATGTCAGCGCTAAAATGACTTAATGATAAGTTATATTTGCTTATGTAGTTTACGAAATGCTGTCCTTAAACGAGGTATTGAAATCACTGTAACATCACCTTATCTGTCAGAAGCCTGCCTCTAATTTAAATTAATTGTACTTCGAACATGCTCTTGAGTATCGAATAAAAATGGGATATGTAAACACCATATGCAGAATATGCAGGTTATAGCAGAATATTACTAGTAAATAAGGAAAGTTGACGATGGAAAAAATGAATTTATCTCGTTTATCATACAATTTAGTTGATGAGTTGATAGTTGGCCCTTATCGTCTATAGCAAGTAAAACATCCAAATATGATACAGATATGACAGACTCCGAAAGAGAAAAAAATCATTTTCTTCTAAAACAAAAAAAACCTTCCGCCACAAAAAATAGTTCCTCACTTAATGCATTTGGTATAGAATTTAATCATGGAGTTTTAATGAATATAGTTTAACTGGTATTGTGGAAGAACTAAAACATTATGCAGAATTTTTGACATATAGGTTAAGACAAAAATCTGCTCAAAGCTCAGGAGCGAACCTCGTTAGATAGGTGTCTCTCTATCTAAAAAAAGCCATATCTGTGGGGGAGGGGGGTCTATTCATTTACTTTTTTGTAAGTATAGCTTATGAAATCATAGAAGTAATTATGCATGAAATTATAACGTAACAATGGGATACCTGTATTTTATGCTTGGAACGTTGCATTACATACAAATACAACATCCTACGTGTTTGAACAAGTATTTTCTTTTTAAATACTGCAATTTTAATCTCAAAAATTGTATGCAATAAAAGACAACTGTTATATGCTTTGTTTTACTATATAGTATTGACCCTTTATATTCTATATAGAGCAGGTTCAGCAAGGGCCTTATTCAATTGACCCTATTGAGTTATAAAATATCAGAATTCTTTAATTTTAGATGAAAATATGTCAAATAATATTAAGACTTTTTGTCATCATATCTCTTGTAGAGTTTTTATACTATAAATCGTTGCTGGCGTGTAATCAACAAGCCTGATGGAACGCTGTTATATGTAAATGTAGATGTAACTGTATATCATATACGTGTAGAAGTGTATCAAAGAGTTTAAACATCAATAGGGGAACAATTATATTTTCATAATATCACAATATCACAAGGATTCGATGATATATGAAGTTTACACGTTAGCACAGGCTTATTTTTTATGATAGAGATTTTAAATATTTTGTATAAAGTTTGTTCATGGGCAACACTGTTTTCTTTACGTCACCTGTATAGAAGAATTCGAGTATTTAAATAAATGAATACTGAAAGAGATATTTAAGATATTTACACACTCTACACAAGGAATAATAAAACCTCCGAAGGTAGAAAACGCAAGTAATTGGACCATGTAGTCACTGCACATATTACACTTCTTTTCTGGTTGGAATGCAGACGCCATGAGATTTTGTCAGGTAAATGTCAACTACTATCATATTTTAAAACAGATTTAATATTCTCTAATTCATCTTCTTATCTAGTAATTAATGACCAGGAATGCAACAATAACCTTCATAGGTATTTCCAACTTTTATGTATTTGTATTTTCAAAAAATAAAAAAACCAAACACATAGGATACGTTCAGAAAAAGTATATGTATGCCATACACACTCAGATCCACCATTAATTCATATATACATGTTCTAGACAGGTCTTTGTCTTTTAAATCCAATATCCTAAATTGAATACGAATGATTTTTATTTCTTAAATTAATGGATGTATTTTGTAAGGTATTTCTTTCTTGTTTTTACAATAAGCAATATGCTGAATTCTCTTTATTTTTAGAATAGAAAATTTTAGTGATGGATCCATACATCCGTGCTCAGGAGTTGATACAATGTGACCTATGTAAGACTGAAATGGTACAAATTCACTGCGATACTTGCCATGTTAAACTGTGCAATACCTGTATTGGAGAACACATGACAGCCAATGATTCCACGAAAAAACACGAGATTGTTAGATTCATATTTCGAAAATCAATTCCAATTTTTCCACAATGTTCCTTTCATGACAAAGAAAAATGTGAAATGTACTGTAAACAATGTGAAGTTCCTGTCTGCATCACTTGCATTGCATCTGAACAACATTCCAGTCATAAAATATTGAAATTTTTTTCAAATTATGGATGAAAGAAAAAAAAGAAAATTACAAAAAAAAAATGAATTAAAGGACAAAATATTTTATAACTATTTGTGCATTGCATCTTCTGATGTAAAAATCATGATAGATCAGTTAGAAAAATAATAATATCTCTCAACAGCCGTTACAAAATATAGAGACAGCTAGCACAAAGAAATTGACGGTTTGTCACAAATTCATTAGAAAAATATTTCTAAGTGATTTAGCTGTAGTCAGAACTTTATTTTTAACCTTTCTTTAAAAATGTGATTTGGGAGAAGAACCTATGATCTGTCCTAGGATTTTCAGAATGCTTTCTATGAAACCTTATCTGTTCTGATGGTTTAAGAGGTCCATATTTGCTCTGCTTCCGGGTGGGGGGGGGGGGCAATCAAAAAACAAAATTCCAACCCAAATTTGAAAAACAAAAAAAACCCAAAAACCAAAACAAAACAAAACAAAACAAAACAAACAAACGTAAAATACATTTTCTAAACGTGAAAAATACCTATTTTGTGGTGGTGATGACGGGGTCCACGTTTTCGGAGGGGGGGGGGGGGAGTCCAAAGTCATTTTTTAATTGCTTTAGTATATACTTTAAATAACTGCAAATTCCAGGGGGTCCCGACACCCCCCCCCTACAACACCGCTCTAGATCCGCGCATGCCGATTTATATTATTATATTATTTATATTATATTATTTAGATAACTATCTAGAAAATAATAATTTATTAAGTCAATACTAATATGGATCCAGGAAAAATCATAGAACCACTGATAACATTTTTATACTCAAAATTTTAGTCAATAAGTATTTTTGTAAAAAGAAAGAAAACCTGTATGTATGTTATGTTGACTTTTCAAAAGCATTTGATACTGTATGGAGATCTGCATTAATGTATAAAATCTACAAGAAAGGTATTGGTGGAAACTTTCATAAACTTCTATGTGATATGCACTCTAATACAGTATATTCTTGCAAAAATAACAACATGATGAGTGAACCATTCAGAGCAAATCGAGGGGTAAAACAAGGTGACAATTTAAGTCCTACACTGTTTAATATATATGTTGATGATTTTTTAGAATATTTACATAGCTCGGATACCTTACCAGCATATTTAGATTCAGTGCCTGTTAATCACATGCTTTTTGCTGATGACTTAGTATTAATTTCTGAATCTCCATCTGGGCTTCAACATTGTCTGAGTGCTTTGGAAAATATTGTACAGATTGGGCAGTTACAAGTTAATATGAAAAAAAAACAATGCAATGATTTTCTCTAGAAAAGCATCAGTTAATAATGCATGGATTTTATTTTAAGCATAACATTATACCTATAACAGACCAATATAAATATTTAGGACTTGTGTTTACATCAAATGGAAAACTAAAGTTTGCTTCTGAGCAACTTTCAGAACGTGCTAAAAGGCATATTATGCACTGAAATCAAGTATACCTGGAAATAACAATCTTCCAGTTCAAGTGTTACTTAAACTATACAATTCAATGATTGTTCCAATTATAACATATGGATCTGAAATATGGATCACAGACTATAAATTAGATATTAAATCTTCAGAATGTTTTATATTTGAAAAAAATTCAAAATCATATTCTCAAAGATATTCTAGGTGTACATAGAAAAGCATCAAATTTAGCAGTCAATGCTGAACTAGGTTCTTATCCACTTTACTATCTATGTTATGAAAACATGCTTAAATATTATACCAGATTAAGGAATATGGAATCAAATACCACTTTAAGTATCAGCTTTCAAAGAGGACAAAGAGTTAGCTCTGAAAAAGGGTTATACTTCATGGCAAAGCAAGATTTTCAATCTTCAACAAAAACTTAACCTAACGTCTTTAAATATTTCCCATAAGGATTTGAGGTTTAAGTTAAATAAAACTTTTGTTGATATGACCTTTGAACAATTGAGCAAAATCTCATCTTCTAACTCAGGAAAACTTTATTTTTATAGTAAAATCTTAAACTGCACTGATTATAAATTGCAGGCTTACTTAAAGTTTCCTTTAAAAAAGCATGAAAGATCACAGCTAACAAAATTAAGAATCAGTGCACATTCACTATTCATTGAAACAGGTAGATACTGTAAACCAATAATCCCTAAGGAAAAACGTCTATGCTATGCTTGTTAAATTATTGGTTGAAAATGAAAAACATTTTGTACTTTACTGTCCTGTGTATGACAATCTTCAATTTCAATATTGTGATATTTTTGATGGTAAATTATACTGTGGTACTGATCCCATTAAAGAAATTGTTAACCCATGTGAATATAATACTACAAAACGTTTATGTATCTACTTAGATAAATGCTTTAGGAAGTAGGAAGAGGAAACAGTGCAAAGGTCTAAAGGAACTGTTTAAAATTGAATTGCATGCAATTATGTTATAATATTCTTCTCTTTTTTTCTGTTATCTGTCATTTGATTTCTTATTTTGACTGTATGCCAACATGGTGATGTCAATAAACTGAATTGAATTGAACAATTATCTCAATGGACATTTGAATTATGATTCTCCATGTTTACGGACCAACTATGGAGACTGACTGAAACAGAAACAGCTTAAAATTTTTCCTTCAGTGCATGATTGCTATTTTTTTCTTCAAGGTTGAGAAATGGTCGAAAACAACAAAATGAGATTCCATTAAGAAAAAAAATTGACCATTAGATATATATCGTACACAAAAAGAAAGGAAAATAGCTTCTGCTTTTGATTCATTTTTTTAGATAACAAATGCTGAGCACAAAAAAGGCATCTAAACTCAGATATGATTTAGATCCCGCACTGCTATCTCACAGTAACCCAAGAATTCTTGACTGATTATTTTATGTTTCATCTTAAATATAATGACGTTAAAACTGCAAATGCGATGAAATTGACATAAGAGGCTCCACCCCGTGCACTCTGTTACACTCCCTTTAGGAGTTCCATTCTCTGTTTTATACACCAAGCCTTGTTTAGGTTTGCTACATTAAACTTTGCGCAAAAACTAATTATAATGCCAATTTCTTAGGAATTCGATGATTCACCTGCCGTGCCAGTGAATTTCATCCCTAATTTATTTATTTATTTATTTTGAAGCTCTAAAACACTTTTTTTTCAATGAAAAATATAGAATTTACAAAGTTATATATATTGTACAGAATAAAACATACAATGAAAATACTTACAATAAAACTTAGATATGCAATTCTCAGATTTACAAATTTGTGTCATGATTTTCCTTGTAATTTAAAAGAATTTCTGTAAAACAAGTTGTTTATTACATTACCATCGATCGAGAAAAAAATAGAGTCGGATTGATGAATGGCACTTTTTACTTATTTGGGAAACATTGGACCGACATTTCATCTACAACATTGCTGGTCACATTTAATCACAATCTACCCAACTATTGCCCAATGTTGCAATCTAACAAAGAGGGAAATTTCATATGTCAACATTTGGACAAATGTTGCACCAAAATTTAATATCTAACACACCTCCGTAGCTTATCTTTCACAGTAGGCAAGATTTTTCCAGATCTTATATTTCTTACCCTGCAGATTAATTTTTTATAACAAGAGCAGTCCTTTTGTCACAAATTGCCAAATCTCAGATGAGGATGGTTGCATTAGGATATTTTCCAAGTATGAACATGGTGGCCAATCCAACCCCTCTGTCTTTGGTGTATCTTTTATAGACGCTTTCTCGTTATCATATATGATCTGTGAACAGTCTAATGAAACTGAAATTTTAGGGTATTAAGAAATATTTTATCGTCAAGATATTATTTATAAGATGTTATATGGCGATCTTCTGTTAAAAATTGCTCAATTTAGACCAATCTTTTCCTCATTTTACTTTTACTGGGCATCCAGAACAAACCATCATTTTTAACCAGTTCCCTTCCTTCATTAAAACAATTTATCATACTGAACTTTTGGCAAGTTCTATTGTATCTTCATAAACCTTGTACAAATTATTATAAATTACAGCAAAGGATTTTTCCCTACACATTACAGCCGTTCCTTGCTCGAGTACGACTGGGTCATTATTTTTTTTGTCACAAGTCATCTACATATTGACATCACATTCACATTGTGAGTAAAATATTACATAACACCTGCTATAACAAGTGCACCTGCTATTTTAAGATCATGTTTATGACTATATGTATGCCAAATTTCATTCTGATTTGAATTGTGGATTTGAAGATACAGAATTTCGTGGAATTTTTTATTAAATTTTTTTTTTCACGTCTCGTACTTCCTCTTCTTTTTGTTTATTTTACAATTTTCCTGACACCACGGTGTTTTTGACCGAAGTTGTCTGAAGGTAAAATTGCACTAACCTTCTATCCGCTACTACCTGTCGCCCTTAAGGTGCGGTCATGTGATTTTTCATTCGGTTTTCCATCTGATTTTTACAATCGGTTTGCTTTCGACTAAAAACGTATCGTATGACCACCCAACCAATCTTCTCCAATCGACTTATCTGAGCAAGTCGAATGAAAATGGAATGAAAAATTGCATCGTGTGACCGAACCCTTTACAAGTTAGAGAAACAATGACGTTTGATTTATAACGTAAGCAGAAGTCCCAAGTATTTATAAATTTACAATGAAACAGTCCTTGTTATCAAAAGAGTAAGCTTACATCAATATTGCCTAGAACTTGTTAACATGACTTAATTAAGCATGATAATAACGTGTCATGTTTACTTATCTCGCGTAATGGAAAACCAACTATGACGTCGCACTTAGGCTAAGAAAGCGAAATAAGATAAACCTACATAAGATTTCTACCATCAACCACGAGAATAATTTTTGTGTGTCCTGCTTCCTAAATTGGCTTACCATGAACTGATTATGACCTGCTTTAACGTAGTATGACTGCTCGTGTATTCACCGAATATATATATGATTTTGCCTTCCTAAAAGATCGTGTATGACGTCACCGACTTGTTCGACGAAGGGAAACAGAGGAGTGGATCAATCTATTTCAAAATTAACTAATGTTAAGAAGAGTGTTAAATCTTTTTGATATGTTTATGTAATATGGTAAAATAAAACTAACTGTTCTAAAATTATGCAAGAATTGATCGTTTAAATCATGCTTTGCACATATATTTTCAGAGACTGTGACGTAGTTAAATGGAGTCATGTAACCATGTCCTTCACCCCCTTAAACCATGTTTGGTTAATCTAAATTCAATGAAAATTACTTCCATAATTATCTCAGGTAACAAATATGTATTAAAAAAAAAAAGTAAACACCTACACATGTATTAGTGCTTCATAAAGGTATATTGTGTTAAAATTTGACAAAATATTCTAGTTTAAGTTATATAATAGGGGATTTTAAATTCAACTGATAGTTTGTCTGTGCACAGCTAGTGTCCTTTGTATTTTAACAGTATAGAAAAATAGCATAGAGCACATCAAATCTATACATACCTTGCAGGTATTTAAATACGTTTCTAGATCAGGACAAATGTAGTACCTGACTTGAACATTTCACAAGAAATGGGTCAGTGATCAGTGCGCACGCTTTAATTCCTTAGTTGTAGGTAAGCCAGCCGCCATTACGGTCAACAATCAGGTAAACACCTATAATTGCTTCACAGAGAATGGCTTTGGGCAAAATTGACATTTATTATTTTATTTTTTGAAATAGTCTTAACATTTGGAAATACATGTTTTCTCAAAACCTTCGTAAGGTTTATTAAAAAATAAAACTAAAAGACCGAGACATAGAAAATCTTTGTTGCAAAATGTATAGTTTTATCACAGAACTCTAGTTTTCATTTGGATGCTACCAGTATGTTATAGATATTTTAAACGACATCTTAATCTTGAATTCCAGTTTCATATAATTTGCCTTGTACGTGTTATTTCTCATTTTTCTAATATCAAAAGACTTGGTTTCAGCTGCATATTTTTATTATTTTTTCTTAAAACTTCTAAATGATAAACATTTCCTACAGTTTAGAGCCAAAGTAATTCGTTATGGACCAAAGGAACCCTTGCCAGAAGTTAACATGTGACCTCTGTAAGACTGGTTTGGTACAGATTCACTGCGATACATGTCGCAGCAAACTATGCAATGTTTGTGTTGGAGAACACATGTCATACGATAAATTTAAGAAAAAACACGAACTTGTGAAATCAAAATTTCGAAAATCGATCTTACTTTACCCTCTTTGTATTCTTCATGACAAAGAACAATGTCAGTTGTATTTTAATCAATGTGATCGTCCAATATGCATCACTTGCATTGCATCTGAAGAACATTCAGGCCATAAAATTTTGAAAATTTTACAAGTTTTGGATGAAAGGAAAGAAAAGATAATCAAAGAACGAAAAGAACTATGTGATACAATACTTCCAACCTACGTCGACATTGCATCCAAAGTAGAAAATATGATAGAGCAGTTAGAAAAGGAATATGAAGATCTCTCAATAACCATAACAAAACATGGTGATGACTGGCACAGAATAATTGATAAAATTGTTAAAAAACTTACATTTAAAATTGATGAGGTAAAAATCAAACAATTAGGGACTATGAAGAAACATTTAGATGAAATAAAGGAGAAAATTTGTGACATAAAGGATGGAATTAAATCAATTGATGTTGAAACAGACTCCCAGGACATTTCAAAATTTTTTAATATAAAATTTGATGTACTAACATTTAGAAAACTTCCACTAAAAGTTATCCCACATTTACCAAAATTCACTCCAGGGACAGCTAAAGAAGAGGATTTTTGTAACCTGTTCCGAACTTTATCATCAGGTAAATTTACATTCGAAGAACATGGCTACAGTATAAAAACAACAGAGAAACCATCCAAAGCTCGATCCTCTCCTCCAAGCAAACAGCTGCTTGATGAACCAGAGATCATCAATACCATACACACCGAATATGAAACATTTCTAAACAATGTGGCCTGTGTGCGTGATGAAGAAATTTGGACTAGTGGAATTGAAAGCATGAAACTATTCAGCATCAGTCAGGGCTCTCTACTCAAAACCATCAAAACCAAGACAGGGTACATTCCCAGTGACATAGCAGTAACAAAACATGGACATCTTATTTATTCTGATCATAGAGACAGAACTGTTAACATTGTAAAAAATGAAGAGATTGAAACTTTGATCAGACTACAGAACTGGATTCCTCGCAATATCTGCAGTACTTCCTGTGGTGATCTTCTGGTTGTTATGAACAGAAATGTCCAAGAATCAAAGGTTGTCCGCTACTCTGGTTCCATAGAGAAACAAACAATTCAGTTTGATTATAAAGGTAAACCTCTCTTTTCATCCCATAATACTAAATACATTCATGAGAACAAGAACCTGGATATTTGTGTGGCTGACTTTACTGCTGGAGAAGTAGTGGTTGTCAGTCAGGCCGGGAAATTGAGATTCAGGTATACTGGACATATTTCTACACTGAATAAACAATCGTTCAGACTAAGAGGAATTACCACAGACAGTCAGAGTTTTATACTTATAGCTGATTTTAACAATGAATGTGTACACATCATTGATCAGGATGGTCAGTTCCTCTCATGCATATACTGTGGTCTGCGTAAGCCCTTGGGCTTGTGTATAGATACAAATGACTATTTATTTGTTGCTCAATGGGAAAACAGACAGGTGAAGAAAATCAAATATCTCAGTGAAAAACAACCAGAGTGAATGATCAAGAAAATTCGAAAATTAACATGAATAGGCATATGATTTATATATGCCATGATCATGCACGCTTAAATAATACTTTTATTGTAGTGGGAAGATACATTTGCTATTTGTACGAGGGTTGTTTGGAAAGTTCGTGGACTACCGTCATAACATTTTTACTTAACGTCATATTATATCCAAATTTGGAATAAATATTGCAACAGTAAATTCAAATTTTAAACCATCGTGGTTTATTTCAAACTTATTTAGACTTTAAAAATGCGAAAATCGGGTCACGGAGCAGGTCAAAATTTTGTAATTTACAATCAAGACACTAAATAATGTCTGAAGTCACATCTTCTGTAAAATGTCACAAAAACGGAAAAATTCCATACAAATTAAGAATTGTTTCATTGTTTATGATTCCAAATTATGGCTTAATATTTTGCTTCATTGAAAAGAAATCTGTTTCAGAAAGCAGGTAGTCCTCATTGAAAAAGGCAAAAAAGATGACGTTGTAGAACGTCACGGAGCAGCAGTTAACCATACAATTTTGTGTTGTTCTCTGGAAAACTCCAGAAAAAAATCTCTGAAAATGCCGGAGAAAGTAGGAAATATGTCAAAAGCGGTATTGGCCAATACTGTTTAAAATGTAAAGGGATAGTATTTTTGAGAAACGTTACAGTGTTGTTGAGTTTTCTCCGTGGTTACAAAACATGTTGATTTTAAAATTAAATAACATGAATTCTATTAAGTCACATGGAATGAAACTTCACACTAAACAAAATAAATAATTTTACATATGATAATGTGTTCATTTTTTTTTTACATATGATAATGTGATAATTTTAAATTTCTTGAAGTTGGTATAAGGAAGATTGGCATAGTTCACGAACTTTCCGAACAACTCTCGTATTATTAACTAATTTTTCTATAGGAACACATTTAACTCTTATAGATAGAGAATAACTGATGGGATGGTTTCATAATGTGATTTCTCGTTTAGACCTTTCACAAGGACTCTCATATTTCTCTGTATGAGTGACTTACATATAGAATCTTAGAATTTTATGTTACCTGGGTGTTAAAAGACTCAATCTATTCGGATTTCAGGATGTAACACACATTTTTGGTGGCATAATTAGCTACGAGAAGAGCAGTTCTGTCTTAAAAAATATAATGCAAAGAGAGAGAGGGGGGGGGGGGTTGGATTCCTAAGGTCAAATGTGAGTGATTGATAATTGAATGTTGCTTCACGTCATTTTAGAATTTTTTACCCACATAAAGAGATCATCCGCTTTAGGTGAAGTGTCAAAATTTTGATTTATGCATGGTGTTTCATTGTTGACCAATGCCTACCGCAGGACGGGACAGTCTTTTTTAAGGTAATCTCCAAAAGATCCATGACTTTTACTTTTAATACTGAGGATCTGGCAAAGGAACAGTCACTACCCACGTCAAACACCTTAGTTTTTGACGCGGCTCTGGCAACAAAAAGCCTCAAGAGTTCGAAGCGAGCGTCAAATCCTTTTGGCCCATTTGTACCTGGGATGTTGTAGAAATCTGTAGTCTATTAATATATACTAAAACTTTTGATTTCATAAATTACATCTTAACTTTGTTCAATCACAAACAAAATCCCTTTGGTGTTTTCATCATTTGATATAAAACTTTAATATTTTAGAAGATACTTCGAAACCGCATCTCTCATTTGTGCATTTTATGCGTAAAAAAGGAAGTACATCTATAAAAACAATACACAATTACAAATTCCAGCCTTATACGAATTAATACTTTCAATTAAATGAAAATTAAACATTTTTCAACAGCATACGGTGTTTATTTTGTAAATATTTACATTTAAAATATGCAAAATGTGAATGCATCAAAATTCACGTCATTAAAAATTATTTTAATCCTTAAATGAAACAATCTTTGTTTTTATTGCTTAAGTTTGATTTATTTCCGACATGAATAAACAATTTTTGATCATTAACATTCAAAGATGTGCATAGAAACCTGATATAAATAAACCTACCCTAAATTTTATTTATTTGACCGCCATTTGCAGTTGTGATCTCGATTTCACGTGACTTAGGTGATTTATGTTGAAAAACAAACACCAAAATCATAAAATAGAATGATTAAAGATACATAAAATCACATTTTAAGTGATTTTATCTTAGGCCGGAAAATGTCCTTATAGAGAATGAATTTTCATAGTAAATCAAAGTATCGAAGTATTTACTATAGTTAACTATAGTAAGCTATTATTAACTACAGTTAACTATTATTGTAATTTTTATTACGTTATTTTAAGCTTCGTATGAGGTATAGACAGAGTTTGTTTTGAAAAATATACCTGGTATGCATCATCAGTTTTAGCTTTTTCTGATCAAAGAGTGTCCAGCTTCTGTCTATCGTCTGTAAGCTTTTCACATTTTCGACTACTTCTGAAGAACCACACTGCCAATATCAATCAACCTTGCCATAAAGTATCCTTGGGTTAAGGGGATTCAAGTTTGTTCAAATGAAGTGAAAATTTCAAGGCATCTTTTAATATTTCTTCTCAATAACCATTGAGCCAAAAAAGATGAAACATTTGAAAGCTTTATTACAATATGCCATAAATAATGTTTGTTTAATTCATGACCCTCGGGGCTACGGTTGTGCCACAATGGGCTATCAAAGTTTTACATAGGAATATATATGAAACTCGTTAAAAATTCTCAAGAACAGCAAAACCATGATAAGTCATATTTATATCGAAGCATCCTGAGGTAATGTAAGCATAAGTTTGTACAAATCACGAAGCCCCGAGAGGAAGGGGCCACAGAAAAAAATAGGGAAAATCTTAAAAATCACCTCAAGTTTATAATGTAAGGGTGTGTGTTGAGACCTATAAGTCTCAATAATTATGATTTATACAGTATGTTAATCATGTAAATGAGTTTGATTTTGCAACAGAAAAAAAATTAAATAAACCCTCTCCAATAGTTGTAACTAATTTACCTTTACTGAATAAACATAATAAGCAAGTTCAAAGAATTGTGGTCCCCCGCTTGAGGTATCTTATGGATTGGATGCCATTATTTATGGCATATTGTAAATGTCTTGTTTGTGTGTCCTATCTTGTCTGTGCATCTTACAAATAAAGACAAATTATTGAATTGATAACAGTTATGGAAAAGATTATAGCTTCTCAAAACTACAACAGACTTCAAGATCATGGTCATGAGGTCAAATATCATAATACAATCCGAAATGTCTTCACAAATAATGCACATGTAACAAAAAATATCAAAAACCAGAGTATACAATCGAAAAGGTCTTGAAACAAGTAATATACATGCCAAATGTAAATGCAGTATCTTCTCTCAATCAAAAGTTATCAGCAATGTTCAAGTTTTTGAAAATAAGTTCAAACGTCAAAGTCATGGGGTTAAAAATCATAGTACATTTGGAAATGCTTGTCACAGGTAATGCACGTGTCAAATATGAATGTCCTATCTTCTCTCATTCAAAAGTTAGCAACACTAAAAAAAACTTGAAGGTCAAGGTAACGGGGTCAAATATCACAGTGCATTCGGAAACATTTTGACATAGGTAATGCACTTGTCAAATATGAACGCCCTATCATATGTCATCAAAATATCACCAACGTTAAAATTTTTGAAAATTAGTCAAACATGAAGGTCAAGGTAAAGGGGTCAAAAATCATAGCATTTTCAGAGACAACTTGTCACAGGTAATGCACATGTCAAATATTAGCTGCAGAACTGTAGCTCTCTGGTTGAGAAAATTCGGACAGATAAACCAGAGAGCTACAGATCCAAGCATTGTAAAAACCTTCGATTTACGCCGCCGCTTTTTTTACGTCGCTTCGGGTATCATTTCTTGTATTTTGTGCTTTCCCCCAATTTACAAATGGTATCCGATAATTAATCATATATCTTACTCCCATTCTTAATACTTCGTTTACCTTTCAACTGTTCCAAATGGCCCTATGTGGTCTTAGAACATCATTTTAAAAATTTCCTATCACGACGTCCATATTGGGAGTCGCGCGAAAAAAAAAATTAAAAGAAAACATTTGCCGAGAAAATGTGAATAAGAATATCTTGAGGTTCAAATATCATGTATATTCTCTTGCCTATAAAGAAAAAAATATGTATGTAAAAAAAAATGAGATAAATAAAACCGATTGGGCGTAATATTTTAGCATTACACCATTTTTTTTTTAAAACTGATACTCCAAGACCACATACGGCCTTTGGAACTGTTGAAAGGTAAATAAAGTGTCAGGAATGGGAGTAAAATATATGATTTATTATCGGATACCATGTTCAAAGCGGTGGAACGCATTCAATGCAAGAAATAATACCTGATGAGAGCGACAAAAAAGCGGCGGCGTAAATCGAAAGTTTTTACAATGCTTGGAACAGTAGCTCTGTGGTTTATCTGTCCGATTTTTCTCAACAAGAAAGTTACAGTTCTGCAGCTTGTCAAATATGAGAGCCCTATATAATCTCAATCAAAAGTTATGAGCAAAGATAAAAGTTTTGAAAAATAGGTATAACTTCAAGGTCAAGGTCACAGGATCAAAAACCAAAGTACATTTGGAACGGTCTTGTCACAGGTAATAGACATAAGTAATTTGAAAGCCTTTTCTCACTCAATTATAATGACAAATTTAAAGAAATGTTAAAATTTTACAAAGGTACGTCAAACTTGAAGGTCAAGGTCAAAAGGTCAAAAATCATAGTATATTTTAAAAGTACATGTCACAGGTAATGCACTTGTCAAATATGAAAGCCTTACCTCTTCTCAATAAAAAAATATAAACAAAGATAAAACTTTTGAAAAGTAGGTCAAACTTCAAGGTCAAGGTCACAGGGTAAAAAAATCATTTTATATTTGGAAAGTTTTGTTACAGATAAAATACTTGTATTATATGAAAGCCCTATCTTTTCTCATTCAAAATTTATGACCAATTTAAAATATTACTACAAATTTTA